TACAGAGGCAAAAACTCCATAGCTGGGTCTCAGGAGGATATACATACATTTTACAAGATGAGTAAATACAAGTATTCTTATTTATAAAAAACATTTATTTCATTTATTTCAATTCAACATAAATAAAAAGACAATCCAGAATATTTACAGGGTAAATTTGTGATTAAATGGGTTATTTAATTTGCTATGCTTATAAGTCTCGTTAATACCTAAATACCTAGTAATAGAATGAACTCGTTTAATCAAATTTACCCACCAAAAATTGAATTCTCTTTTTAAAATGTTTTTTACCCATAATGGTTGATGTGTCACTCAGTCCGGTAGGTGGCAGTACGTGTCTCCGGTATAATAAAACTGCCGGAAATTCTATTGAACGCCGAAGACAAAACTGTTTGTGGACGTTCGGTGCTCGTTTGGGTGAGTTTTTATTAATTTCTTTGAAAAAGGTAAAACTGGGTCGTGTCTGTCTGGGATTATTTGTAGGTTTATGGTTAAATTATTATCTCGTTATGTGTGTGTTTTTAGTTTGCTTGTTTACGACAAACTTGCATTAAGATCTGTCTAACCTATTCATTTCATCCATACAACTTTAATTAGATTTCACCTCTTCGTAAAGCCCTTTGTCGACGTTATTTCTCCTCTGCCAAATTTGCTGCGGTGTCTTATTCTCACTCTCTGAAAGTTCACAGACAGCTAGTGAAGATGTCCATTGGAGTGCCCATCAAAGTTCTTCATGAAGCAGAGGGACACATAGTCACCTGTGAAACTAACACTGGGGAGGTTTACAGGGGCAAACTGATCGAGGCTGAGGACAACATGAACTGCCAGGTACTAAGATTTGTCCTGTGTATAGCAAACTAATCTTCTGCTTATCTTCTGAAGTACTATATTTTCCCCTGATAGAAACTTATTAAATTGGTCAATTTTTTTGTGATTTTATCAATCCTTGCATTGGATTTCATATTTGTTTGTTTTTTTGTAACAGGATTTGTACAAAAGTACACCTGTCTCTTGTTGGAAAAGTATTTTTTTTTTCTTTTTTTCTCTAAATTGTCCTCCAGATGGCAAACATCACAGTCACATACAGGGATGGCCGTGTATCTCAGCTGGAGCAGGTGTATATTCGTGGCAGTAAGATCAGGTCCTCATCCTTCCCGACATGCTGAAAAATGCTCCTATGTTAAAGAGTATGAAGAACAAAAATCAGGCCGCTGGTGCAGGTCGAGGAAAAGCAGCTATTCTCAAAGCCCAAGGTATA